CATCCGTAGTACGTAATGGTTAATATAGTAGGAATCCTTTCTTTCTTCTAGGATGCTTTTGAACTGCCACAAGGAACTGCAGTATTAGCATCACCTTAATCGTAACCTGTCTATGATTTTACTGTTTACGTGAGTTGACTTTCACTTTTTGTATTATGTGTAGGGACTTTGATCTGGTAACTCTTTCAGCTACTACACGTTGGATTCAGAATTCAATTTCTCTTGTGATGGAGTTGCAATCTCAGTCTTCAATTCCAAGCAAGTTACTGAAATCTTGCCCTTTTAACTTCAGCCGTGAATTGTTATTCAAGATCGTTTGTCTGTGCCTCTTTGCTTTCTACTCGTGACACTTACCCTGATGTTGATTGTGCTTTTGATCAACACAATTTGGACCTGCATATTTGGTAGTAGTTGTACTTTGCTGTATGGAAGAGCTACTGTGTGATTGATGGTGTGAATTTATTTAGTACTTTTATGTAATGGATATGCTTGTGATTTTTTATTGTTGGTGTTATTTTGCCCAAGTTAGTAGGGATATCAGATGATTTTTTCAATGTCAAAGCTTGTTGAGATTGAATGAGATCAGAGCTGGGAAAAGGAAGTATTTTGTTTTGCTTATCTCATGAAAAGATGTCATGGCTGTGAAATTTCCAGAATTAGCCGTGAGAATGTTTAGTGGAATCTGGGTGTTTTTAGTTTCACGACTTAGTTTAACGGCCGTGATTTATGAAGCCAAAGCCGTGAGATTGCCTGGTGATATGAAAACTGCTCTTTACTTCTCACGGGGCATGTCACGGCCGTGAGAATTTGAAAATGAACCGTGAGAACTATTTAATGAAAGCTGGGTGTTTTGGGTGAAATTTATATATGCCAATGGAGGATTTCATGGTTAATTAGTGTACCCAGGTATTGAGGTAGGGGTTTTCAATTCTTCTGGTAGTTGGAACTTGATACCGAGGCAAGTGTGCTTGTGAGCTCTGGTATAGTCTTGCATTTTTTCAATATTGATAGGAGCCATATATTGAAAACCAGGATTAAACTCATTACCTGGAGAATGTGTTTACCAAATGATTAAACGATCCTTTTCTAGAATGAAACTTTGTCATAACCACGTTTTCTAGAATGTGTTTAACTGTGAAAGTTGCTTCTTTATAATTTTGTTGTTGTTTTAGTTTTGCAGTTTGTTAAAATAGTTCCATAATGAAGACGAAGAGGCATGACCTTTTTAGCACGCGATGTTCTCCGAGGAAAGTATTCTCCCTAGTCTCAAATTCAGAGGCTTGTCAATCAGAGGCCATTAAGAGATGTGGCTTTGGTCGGATTCTTGAAGTGAAAGGAAGAATGTTACAACGTGAGTTGTTGGAGAAACTTTTAAAGAGCTTTAATATGGAAAAAAGCACAATTAAGGCGTATGGGCTGAAAGTGCATATTTCAGCCAAAGATTTCCAGCGAATTATGGGTGTCCCCGACGGAGGGACGGATATCGTCTTGGATGGTGAAGAAGTGGTTGGAAGATCCGAGGAACTGAAAGAATTTAGAGTCTATTTGACTGGTGACTGTGATCGACAGGCGATTTCCACAAGCTTAATGCGAAAGACATTGTTGAAGATAAAAGAGAGCAGCGACCTATTTGTCTAAACTTTTATATTGTACGTAATGGGGGTGATATTAGTACCTACTAGAAGAGATGACATTTTGTTATCTTCGGTATACGTTGTCACCGATGTTGCAGACATTCTGAAGAAGAATTGGCCATCCTATTGCTTTAATGAATTGGTGAAATGCATCTGCAACCATAATGCTGATGGGAAAAAGTATATACCTGGTTGCTTGCTGTTTTTGGAGGTAAATAATTGATCTCCCTACTTTCTACATATTCGTAATGATTAATCATCATGTTGATTATAGATTTTTTTGTAGTTAATATTCTTGGAGCATACAAATGGTATTTTCCACACCATTGATGGATGTTTAGATTTTATGAGTTGGGGGAGCGGAGACGTAGAGTTATTGTTCACGAAATTGGTAAGACTGATAGTGCAAAATGATATATTTGATTCTTTTGACGAGTTGGAGCATGCTAATGGTACATTTGGTTCCCTTTTTAATTAATTTATAGATTTCCAGCAGTTCGAGGAAAAGATCATCTGAGGATGCAAGTTTGAAATCACCTCCAAGGAAATGGGAAAAAAGAGACGGGAAACGACACAAAACCGACTGGGATGAGCTGTGTCTCTATGAGCGTATTGATGCTTGGTTTAGTACCATGGAGGCTAGATTTGACAACTTCAGTCAAGAATTTAAAGTCGCAATGGGTGATGGTGCTTCTAGAGATGAGGAGCTAATGGGCCGGGTTATGAAAATGGAGAATGAATTTCGGGCATTTAGAGACGAAATTGGTACTGCAGTGAAGTCAATTATAAAGGCAGTGAAAGCAACTACAGGTGACCCGTTGTCAAGGGAGCAGCTTACTGAATTGAAAAAGAACGATCAGAAGGACGCGGCTGATAATGTGAAAGCTTCTGCAGCTGTTTTGTTGTCAACGGAGCAGCTTATCAGAGAGGAAAAGGGAAACCAGAAGGGTGAGGTTGAAAAACCAAGTGAACCCATTTCTCCTACCTCCGAATGTGTCAAGACTCATGGGTTAGGTGTTAAGAATTGGGGAGAGGCTGAGGGGGAAATTGTAGATGACAGTTGTTCTGAATCTCCTTCTGTCAAAGTTGTGAAAAAGTCTCCTTGCAAGCAGGCGAAAGCGTCTAAAGTTGAGAAATTCATACTGTTGAGTGATGAAAGTGTTGCTGCTAATGATGGTTGTGCCAAGACACTGTGAAGGTATTGCACTTGATTAAGTTTTCTAATTATTTGTTCTTATGGTGTGGTTACTAATGAACTGGTTTTGTTTTTATGTTTTTGAACAATAAAGGGGGCGAAAGGGAGGTGGACTATGTAGTGTATCTAAATTGAAGCCTAGTTTGTATTTGGTCTCTCCATTCGAATGGGCAAATCCCAGAGCTAAGAAAGCACAACCTTTGTACCTTGCTCCTCCCTTTGTTGTTAAGACACCATTGACTTTGGAGGCAGTAAAGATGATTCAATTTGCTTTTAGTAGTAAGCTTCCCGGAAGGTACCTCCTGAAATCATTACAAGTAAGATTGGATCATATTTGTAGGATCTTTTTGGTATTTTCCTTATTCTAATGTTGTGGTGTTTGAACTTGGTCTTGTATAACAGTGACATATTGGTTAGTCTTGAAGGCGGGGTTCCTCTTTTGCTCCGTGAAGATTTGGTCCACCTTTTGCCCAATACCAAACTTTCAACAAGGGTGAGTTCCTTTATGTGTATAATTTAGTAGATTGAACTTGTATTGCGGACTTTGATATATGTGATGATGCATTAGATTATAGAACTGGCGTGTCTATGCAAGACACTAGAAGAACGAAGTTGTGGTCTAAAAGGAAATGGCTTAACCCTCCTATGTTAAATTGTTAATTAATGTTTGTTTGTGGATTATTTCAGATTCATGTCCCAATTTTCAACCTCACGGTGAGCCACTTCTATCTGGCGGTCTTTAACTTGGATTCCAAAGAAATTGAAATCTGGGACTCATTACCAGGAACTCATAACCAAGAATATGATGCAAGGATGTAGAAACTGGTTTGCTTCTTGTTCTTCAAGTTTTCAAACTTGACTTATTGCTTAGTTGTTAGTTGTTTTTCATTTGCCGTCTTTGTCGTTAAATATCGATGAGGGGGATGTTTTCATTTGCAGAAATTGGGTCTAGACTTGTTGCTTAAGGATGATATCTGCGGGGCTTTTCATTTGTGGACTTTGTGGTTAGATATCCCCAGGATGTTGCTTGCCAACCAAATGGGTAGCCTTTGTTGTTGTTCAATTGTGCACTGTTCTAATTAAGTTCGGTAATTATTTATTCGCATCATGACCATGGTAATTATTTGTCATATTACAGATTTGATTGTGAACTAATTGTCGCCAATTACTTGCTAGATCCAAATTGATATTCCAAGAAGCTTGACCAGTTCGACAGTGACTATGAACGGGCACAACTTACAATGTACTTGCTCACTACGCGTTTGAATGAGGTGCAAACTACAGTTAAGGCACAATCAGATGAATATTTTCAGAGTCATGCGAGACCTGCCCAAATTGAGACAGAGAAGATGAATTTCAAGACAAACTTACTCAATCGAGGAAGAAAGCCGTTGCACGCGCATGGGGAGAAAAAGGGTAGAAAGTCTAAGAAGCATTGAGAGTTGTGCTGTTAATGTAGAGTTTAGTTAATGTGGATGTTGAATGAAGTTTAGGAAAGTAGATGTTGAATGAATTTTAGTGAATGTAGATGCTGAATGAAGTTTAGGAAACTGTTGAAATTACAATGAAGTTATGAATGAAGCATTATTCAGTGATGTTCTCTTTTCTCTATAGTATGTTCAATGTGTCGACAAGGAAGAAGATATGAATGATCATATACCGAAAAATGGTTGAAAATGGACCTTGTTCACCCTGCCAGCAGGCTCTTTCACGGCCTCAATATTCCATTCTCACAGCCGTGATATTGGGCCATGAGATGGTGATTTTCTGACGCCTTAAGGATGAATCTTTCACGCCCTGGGAAACGGTGTGGTCTGGTCCAGACCAGACCATATATGCAGTCTACGGTCCAGACCAAGGCGTTAGAACACAGACCATAGACCAGACCAAATACTATACGGTCTGGTCCAGACCACGCCTGTGCGGTCTGGTCCGGTACGGTCTGGTCCGGAAAAATCGTGTTGACTGTTAAGTTAAAGTAAATAATTCATTTGAGCTCAAAATCGAATCAATAACTAGAGAAAAAAAAGAGTTAAACACACCATATCGTCTACCAAGTCATCAAACAACCACTACAAGGCAACATAACATGTTCTAAAATCCATGATATAACAATAAACAAAGTCCAAAATTTAATAACTAATAAGTCCTATAAACTACAAAGTGCAACTTCAAATGCCACCATCTCCTTGTCCTTCGTATGTCCTAGTCCCAGCCTTCAATGTTGAGGAAATATCATCACTTCCTCTAATATCTTTGTTAACAGTAGAATCTTGAACTCCTCCTCTCTCGCCCACCTGCTCCTCCATAACGGCATTGTAAACTAAGCAAAGACAAAATACAAATAAATAGTTAGCAACCCAACATTTATAATTCACAATGAATAGTTGAAAAATTAAGCAATGAAAAACTAAAATAATAAGCATTACCATTAACAAATGCTTCTTCATCCTCATAATCACCATCATTGTCATCATCCAACGGCAGAAAGGAACTTGATCTAAGCCAATCCTCACTACAGATTAGTGCTTCAACAATCTTAGGATGTAATGAACTTCTAAAGTCATCTAGAATTCTTCCACCAGTGCTAAATGCAGATTCTGAAGGCACTGTAGACATAGGAATAGCAAAGATATCCTTGGCCATCTCAGATAAGATAGGATACCTCGAATGATTTGCCATCCACCACTTCAATACATCAAATTCAGATTGGGTTCCTCCAGATCCACTACCTTCACAAGGATGACCAAGATACATGTCTAGCTCAGTTTTGAATAGACAAACTTCAGGTGGTATGAAATCTGAATCAAATCCAAGATATACTTCACCACCATCTTCAAAAACCGGCCTCAAAGAACTAGAACTAGAAGCATGCACAACCTCATTTTCTGTATGTGGTGGTGGAGGAGGAGGCCTCACCCTTCCTGCATAATACTCAAACAATTCAACAAGTTCACCATTTAAATCTTTTACCATTTCCTTTCCCCTTGTCTTCCCATACAGCTTCTTCAAAAAATGTCCTGGATAGCTCATTTTGTACCTTGGATCAAGCACAACAGCTATGTAAATCAATCGATTCAATTTATGATTCTCTCCCTCCCTCTCAGACCAATATTTATCAAACTTCTCTTTCATTTTCTTTCCCATCCTTGCCACATCATCATCATTGCTACAACTCATTCTACCAATATGGTAGAATACATCACCAATTGCCTTCAAGAATATGTGAGATCTTGTATGAGAAGTGGAAGATGCAAGCAATGTCAAATCATGAAAAAACTTCAGATATGTCAGCACAATCCTAGCACACTTCCAATCAGATTGTTGTGGAATCCCTATTTCTTCATTTTTGAACTTTTTGGCTTTAAGATCAGACAGGTAATCCTTATCTTTCCTCACTAGAGCATGGAAAGCATCCTCATAAGCCACAGCTGCTTCCAACATGAAAAAAGTAGAATTCCATCTAGTTGGCACATCTAAGCACAACATCTTCTTCATTTCAATGTCATTAAATGCCACACATTCTTTGAACTTGGCCAATCTAGAGGGTGAAGATCGAACCCATCTAACTGCCTCTCTCACTCTCCTAACAGAGAGGCCTATATCCTCCAAACCATCAGAGACAATCAGATTAGTAATATGAGCAAAACAACGCATGTGTAGGTACTTCCCACCTACAACACTAGTACCCCATGCTTCAAGCTTGTTCCTCATATAATTGACTGCAGTGTCATTGGAACTAGCATTGTCAACTGTGATAGAAAAGATGCTCTTCAAACCCCATTCTTCTAAACAACATGCAATTGCCTCCCCAATGTCTTTCCCCTTATGACTTGTAATTTTGCTGAAATTGATAATCTTCTTATGCAGCTTCCAATCATTTCCAACAAAGTGAGCAGTGATACACATGTAGTTGTAGTTTTGGTTAGAATTCCAAGAATCAGTCGTAATTGACACCCTTCCAGCACACTTTTTCTTGAAGTATTCTTTCAGTTTGCCCCTTTCTTCAAGAAACAATCTAAAACAATCTTCTCTAATAGTTTTCCTACAAGGAATCTTAAACATGGGGCATACTCGTGCCATAAACCTCCTAAACCCTTCCTTCTCAACAAATCTAAAGGGCAATTCATCTAGAATTATCATTTCAACCAAACCTCCTCTCGCCCAACTTTGATCGAATTTCCAAGTTGTAAGAGTTCCTTGAAAAGTTAAATTCATTTGACCACTTGAATCCTCCAATTTCTTCTTGCATCTCAGCCAATGAGTTTTTAAAGTAGACGTACCATTATAAGCTGGATTAGCAGCAAAGTTTTGCCCACAAATGAGACAACTGGCCTTCTTCATCCCATTTTCAATGTATCTCTTGTACTCTTTCCACACTGGTGCCTTCAACTTGCCCCATATACGGATGTCCTCGGCATCTTGGAAAAGCTCCGAAGTTGTTGCTGCTACTTTTACTTGTAGTGGCGACATATTATTGGTGGCATCACTAGCTTTGTCCTCAGGACGAGCTCTTTTATTAACCTAATATAAAATTATTAAATTGAAACAGTAAAGCAACACATGAAATCAAATATTGCATGGACACTGGAACATAGAAAACTCACGTGGATGATGGTGATTGTGCTGTCAATTACAGTTGAAACATATATATACATGCACGTATGGCTCTAGTTAATATTAAAATAGATGCATGGAGACTAGAAAAGCTCATGTGAATGATTGTGACTATGCTCTCAGATGGAAATTCTTTTAAAGGATGTTTACAACTTGACAGTTTGTATTTATGAATCTTCTGTTTATCGAGAGACACAAACAACCCAGACAAAAATTTTGAGGAAGAGAGACTTCGGGTTTGAATTGCATACCCTGGTTTCTTCTTCTCCTTGCATCGGGAATTGAGTGCGGATGGAAGCCTAAGGGATGCAGGATGCTGCTACTGCTACACGCCTGAAGCAGGACTCGACCGGGAGGAAGAGACAGGAGACGCTGCCGAGGACTGGGGAGTCGGGATCGTACAGGAGACGCTGCCGTCGTTGGGGAGTGGAACTGGTGTTTGCTGGTGGAGGCGAGATGTTCGTGGGAGCCGAAGAGAATTAGGTTAGGCGGGCGTAATGGAAGACAAAGTTAGAACTGAGAAGGAATTGCTTGACTGGGCCTGGACTTGCGTGTTTGTCTAGGTTAGGTACACGGTTTGGTCCGGTTAACCGCGGTCTAGACCAGACCAGACCAAGAGATCAAAACTTCATATAATACAGACCATGGACCAGACCAGACCATTCTTCACGGTCTACGGTCTGGACCAAACTGTGCGGTCCGGTTTGGTCCACGGTTTTTCAAACGGTCTGGTCTATTTTCCCAGCCCTACGTGAGATGGGTTTTGTCTAACGCCTTAATGATGAGAATTTCACGCCCATGAGACTAGGCCGTGAGAATGAAAAAAATCATTCCCTACAATTCAGGGAACCTCTCTGTCTTGAAAGGTGTATCTCACACCCGTGAGATTGTGGGCGTGAGTTAGTGAATAAAAAATGTCATTTAGAAGGATCGAACTTACGCACTTGGCATAATAATTCAGCGCATTAACCAGTCAGACTACCTAACATGTTTTATAAAATTCATTGTCCGTTTTCCTTTTAGTACATATGGTTGAATGAGCGTTTGATTATCGGTTTTGGGTTCAACCCATGCAATTGTAAACCGATGTGAGATTGAGGTTAGGTATATGGATGATTGTGTCTTTGATAATGGTTTTGGGTTTAACCCATCTACTTGTGATCCGATGTGGGATTTGTTGATGATATATGGTTTAGTGAGTGTTTGATTACGGTTTTTGGGTTGAACCCATGTAATTGAGAACCGATGTGAGATTGGTTGATGATATATGGTTTAGTGAGCGTATAATTACGGTTTTGGGGTTGAACCCATGTAATCGTGAAGTGATGTGAGATTGGTTGATGATCTATATTGGTTGGGTGAGTGTTTGATTATTGTTTTTGGTTCAACCTATGTAATTGTGAACCAACGTGGAATTGGGTTTACGGTATATGGTTGATTGACGTTTGATTATGATTTTGGGTTTAACCATGTACTTGTGAGCCATCGTGGGATTGGGTTTACGGTATATGGTTGATTGTCGTTTGATTATGGTTTTGGGTTGAATCCATGTACTTTATATGGTTGACTGAGCGTGTGACTATGGTTTTGGGTTAACCCATCTAATTATAAACCGATGTGAGATTGATTTACGATATATGGTTTAGTGAGTGTTTGTTTATGGTTTTGGGTTGAATCCATGTACTTGTGAACCAACGTGAGATTGGTTGAGAGTATATGGTTTAGTGAGTGTTTGATTATGGTTTTGGGTTGAACCCATGTACTTGTTAACCGATGTGAGATTGGTTGAGAGTATATGGTTTAGTGAGTGATTGATTATGGTTTTGGGTTGAACACATGTACTTGTGAACCGACGTGGGATTGGGTTTACGGTATATGGTTGATTGACGTTTGATTATGGCTTTGGGTTGAACCCATGTACTTTATATGGTTGACTGAGCGTTTGACTATGGTTTTGGGTTTAACCCATCTAATTATAAACCAATGTGAGATTGATTTATGATATATGGTTTAGTGAGTGTTTGATTATGGTTTTGGGTTGAACCCATCTACTTGTGAACCGACGTGAGATTGGTTGAGAGTATATGGTTTAATGAGTGTTTGATTATGGTTTTGGGTTGAACACATGTACTTGTGAACCGATGTGAGATTGGGTTTACGGTATGTGGTTGATTTTCGTTTGATTATGGTTTTGGGTTTAAACTATCTAATTATAAACCGATGATTTTTTGGGTCGGTCATAATGAAAAAATTCCTAGATCCTAAACCCTCACCGTCGTAAGCCGTAACAGTGATGTCGTTCCTTCCTTCTCGTCCTTCGTCGGCGTCAGAGGACTGATCCTCGGTTCCTCCCTGTCGGCTTCTTCCTTCCTGCTTCCCTCCCTCCATCCCAACCTCAGTTCTTAATTGTCGTCCTTCGTCGGCTCCTTCTCCACCAATATTACTAAACCAGATTCTTCCTATCTCCCTTCCTTCGTGTTCCCTTCTCTACACAACCATGGAATTTCCATTCTCCCTTATTCGCCCATCCTTCGTCACCCATCCTTCGCGACGGAGACAAATCGTTTCTAGCCGAGACGACGACGAGGTAGAGAGAGCAAGTGGGTTTTAATAGGTAAGGGCATGCGTGATTTTTCGTGGGGGGTTTCAGTTGTTAAGGGTTCTTACTTGGGTTTTCTGTTTTAATATATGGGTTTAATGGTTTAGTTGAGGGGAAGAGACGAAATTAGTGGTAATAGGAGGGTAAGGAAAGGCTACCGCCGGCAGCTCTGAGCTTTGTCGGCGGCAACGCCAATGACCAAAGGGAACTTTCCTTGTGGGTTTTCGGAATTTGAAGTTTAGTACTAGTTGTGTGTTTAGATTATGCCTATTGTGTTTGCGAATTTTGAGAAATCGTGTATATATAGTTGGATTTTTAGACTGAAATTATGATGGTTTTGGGGCTGGAAATTGTGTTTCAGTTTAGCTGTGGTTATTGTGCATAGTTTGGTATGTGGAAGTTTGTTGTATGTTATGGTGGGTTCGAAGATTGGGGATTGTGGTGGCTTTAAAACTGTAATTGTTGGCAGTAATGGTGTTCATGTATGGTTTTCATGTTGTTTGAAAAGAGGATCGGTTCTGGTTGTCTTCTTTGTTCAATTTGGTGGGTGTTGTGAATTGTGATCTTGCTTGGCTTCATTTCATTTGTGAATGGTTGGTTTGTCGCGGAAGTGAAGGGCAAACTATCGAGCTGATAAGGCACCTATCGAGCTGAGTTTGCTTAACTCGGACTTGGCTTGTGTTTGTTTCGTTTCATGTCGATTGAGTGGGTCTGTTATGCGTTCTGAACTGGGTATTGTGCACCCTATCTCTGGCCGAATTTTTCTGGAGATATGAAGGGGTCGTTTGGAAGTTGGAATTTCAGATGGTGTATTTAACCAATACATGTAATCAGAAGAATTCTTCGTTTTTTTTGTCTTAAACAAAAACAGAATACTTGTATTTAACTACAGATGGGACGACCAGAATCATTCATTATGAATGATTGCCAATCTCAGCTTTTACCAGAGATTGTGTTTGAGGAAATTGTTAACTCACTTTTTCTTCCTTATGTTTTGAGGGACCACCAAAATCATTCAACCTCCAAACAATGTATTTTTCAAATTCATACATTGAAACAATACATCTAATTATAATACATACATTGATTAAATACATCAATTTAAAGAATCCTAACTTCCAAACATGCCCGAAGTGTCTTAGCTTTCACATTGTGGAAGAACGTGAATCACTGTCATTCGAATTTTGAAGCGTGTGTTTTTTGGTTAGTATTCCTGCTCCTGCATATAGCTAGGGGGCAGAAAAAGCAACTTTGACTTCATGTCCTAGATTTGAGGATCCGCAGAATCATAAGTAATGAGGGGGTGAAAGGGCTGCCTTTTGAGGTTAACATGGGCTTGGAGGATTCTTTTTTTATGCTATTGCCCTCTGTTACAATCAATCCCAGAGCATTATCAGTAGTAGTATGTTAGTTAAGCTTGGTAGGTAATGGATGCTTAAAGATCCTTAAAGATGCACAGAAACTATGTGGGTTATATGCATATGCCTCTAATATTTTTTCGTTGCTTGTTAATTGATTAGTGAAGTGTTTGATTCGGTCGGTTATGGGTGGTGCATATGTGGATTTCAATTGTCTCTAAACTTCATTTTGTTGGTTGTATTCATTTGATCAACTATGGAAGGATTGATGGATGATATGAGCACAGGCAAGGACACGGGAATTGACTTGAATGTTGGTTTAGATTGCGGAATGGATTATGGAGATGATACCAGTGGTGTTAGAGATAGTGACGATATGGAGGACAATGTCGACACCAGCGATAGTGATTCTGAGGATGATAATAACACTAACATTGGTGATGATGACAAGGAGAACATCTCAGACGAGCATTTGCACAGCTTCGAAACACAGCCACACAACTTATATGCACCTCTACATAAAGATGCTGCAAGTCGGGAATGTGAAGCCATATTCTAAATGGGAGTCAGAAGATGTTGTGGGTTATGAGTTTGAAACCCTTGTGGAGGCTGTCAAGTTCTATTCAACTTATGGTTGTGCCATGGGATTCAGCGTACGAAAGAACGCTCACACATATTCAAAATATGGAGTTAGAAATATGCAGCGATGGGTTTGCTCACGCGAGGCGGAGCGTCAGCCAGTGCACAATGACAAGGAGAACAGAAAGCGTGAACCTAGGCCTGTAACAAGGCTCCATTGTCCGGCTGCTTTCAAAGTCAGTTTTGTTGAGGCAACTAACCGATTCAAGGTGAAGCAGTTTGTACCAACACATTTTCATCACTTAGATGGAGCACATGAAGTGCAATTTTTGAGTTCTCATCGCAAGGTAGATGACGCAAGTAATGCTCAGATTCGATCACTTAGGGCTGCTGGTGTCCGCACCAATCAAATCATGCATTATCTAGTGAATTGTGCGGGAAGCTTTCAGAACTTGGGTTTCACTAAGACCGATGTCTACAATTTTGTTAGTGCGGATCGGAGGTCGGAGATCTTGGATAGTGATAGTGAAGCTGCACTTGCCTACTTACAAGCACGGGCAACTACCGATCCTCGTTTTTATTGTAGATATACAGTAAGTGATGGTGGTGAACTAGGCAATATGTTATGGGCTGACTCTACTTCACAATCTTGTTTTTTACTCGACGTACAAGACTAATGCATATAATCTTCCATTTCTTCTTTTCATTGGTGTGAATAATCATAATGCAAGCACTGTTTTTGCATGTGCTTTACTTGCGGATGAAACGGCGGAGAACTACGTATGGATTCTAAATGCTTTTTTACATTGCATGGGTGGTAAGAAGCCAACCGCAGTTATAACAGATGGTTGTTCTTCAATGAGGAAAGCTATCAAGTCGGTTCTCCCTGGATCCCGACATCGGTTATGTTCTTGGCACTTGGGCAATAACGGAGAAGCGCGTGGCCATGCGGAAGGCTTCCGGGAGGATTTCAAACAATGCATGCTAAACTACAGTTCTATTCCACAATTTGAAGCTACGTGGAAGGAAATTTTGTCCAAGTATGACCTGGAGCACAATGCGTGGATGAAGAAGATGTATAGGCGACGAGCTCTATGGGCCACAACTTACTTGAAAGGTACTTTCTTTGCTGGGATGACTACGTCACAACGTTGTGAGAGCATGAACTCTTATCTAGACAAATTCTTGCAAAGTAAGATGAAGTTGTTTGAATTTCTCAAGCAGTTTGACATGGCACATTTGTATAGGAGACAAACTGAGTTACATGACCAGTTTAAGACAATACATACTGATGTTGTTTTGATGACACATTTACATGAAATTGAAAGACATGCCTCTATAGTATATACAAGAAATGTGTTCAGGAGCGTTCGAGCAGAAATAGTGAGAGAAGTTCATTACTATATTACAGACAAGTGTGTGTTGACCAATAAAACAATTTACACATTGTCACGATTTAAATACCCCAACTCAAAGTGCACCATGGTCTTTTACACGAGTGGACATGATGTGCATTGTTCTTATGGCTTTTTGAGTTTCTGTGGAATTCCATGTCGGCATATATTCTTTATATTGAACGCAGAAAATCAAATACAAATTCCAAAGTCACTCATTTTGAAGCGTTGGACTAAAGATGCAAAAGAGTTCGATCCCTCGAGCATGGGAAGCTGTCCTACCCAGCAAAATATTAGCAGGTATTATAAATTTAAGCTGTTGATTTAGTTCTTTGTTTACTTCTATTCTGCTTGGAACCAACTACAAAAGTGCTTGTTGAAACACCCTAACCCGGTCGGGTACTACTTTTACTAACATGCCCTTGATAAATAAAATACTCAAACCTTAAATTGCAGCGGGAAAAATTTAACATAAATAAAAATACTGAAAACACACTTGAAGTTCGAAGCAAAACCCTAACACGTGGGTAAATTAAACTCAAACTTTAAAATCTCAATCTGATCTCAAAATAATCTCCAGTCTGTACTCGTAATCATAAATGTAAATAACTAATACTCTGAAGTTGTTGCTACTGAAATCCTTGACGAAGCATCCTCCGTGACGCTTATACTGCTCTCCTCTAGCTGGCTGCCCTCGAACTCGCTGCTCACTAACTGCTCCTCTAGCTCCTCACACTGGTGAGTGAGATGGGGTCAGTCTACGCCCTTACGTTTAAATACTTCTAATACTTGAGTACTTTACTTAAACACTTAACTTTGACTAGTGGAAGTTGTTTGTACTTCCAATCTTCAAATCTTAACTCTTAAACTTTGAGGGAGTTGAAGTTACTCTCCTCTCTTAAAGCTCAAATCTTGACTTAAATACTTGACTGACATGTGGATCCCTTACTAGCTAGTCATGTTGCCAACTCATACGTATGAGAAGCCACTCAGGCTTTCCTTAAACTTAAACTTAGTTAGGGAAGTCATAACGATTCATCCCCCTAACATCTTAAACTTATCGTGGTGGCTCTTCACCACGATTCTCAAGGGCATAACTGCTGCCCATTTTAAAAGTCTCAAGAGCATAATTGCTGCTCTGTCTCAAAGATCTTAAGAGCATAACTGCTGCTCTGTCTGAAAATCTCAAATGGCAACAGACTGGCGCTAGTGACTAAAACTCTTAAAACGACTTCACCTTCTTGAAGGTGAGTTACTTATTTAAAAAGAACTTATTCTTAACTTTAACAATAGCTAATAAACGTAAAGCCTTAAAGCAAACAACACACCTTCTCTATAAACCACAGCTCAAACAAGCACATATCATCAATCATGAGAATAAACAAGCATAGCAATACTTAACAAAAATAATGAAAACTCTAATACTTGAAAAATACGTAAGGCGTAGAATTTACCCCCTTTACACTCACCTTGATACTGAAGTAACAACCTTGATGTGAGGTAGGTGGACCTCGTCTCCTTTCCTTGCTCTCTCTACAACCAACTACTTTGCATTTGAACCTCATTTCCACGTACTTCTTATAATCCCCAGTTATGTCGTATCAAGCGGCGGCCTGCTAATCTTCATCGTCAAACTCTCATGTCCAGCTGCCACAACTCCTGCTCGCAGCTTCTCGGCTTCCAACCTCCCTGCTGCGCCACATGGAAATCCTTCCCGCAACTTTGGTCCAAATTAATGGAATAGTGCCATGTCCATTTATTTGCCAAAAGACAAAGAAGGAATCCATAGAGCTATAATAGTTAACAGCAAACTCCTCATCGACATCCTAACCGATTGGGGAGCAGAGCTATAGGTTGTTCCCTTTTCTCTCAATAAACTTAGAAGAAATTTCTCATCATGGTCTATTTTCCTTGTCGCAAACTGCCACTTAGGTGTCGATGCTCGAGGTTTCAGTAGCTTCCCTAACCGAGTAGCACCTGATCCTTGTGGAAACAGTTACACTTTCTACAGCAATTGGACAATTATTATCATTCCCAGCTCCTTGCGATTCCCAATGCAACAGAAAAAGAAGCATAAAGCGCCTACCTTTTGGCATTCTTTCGAAGAAACAAAATGAAGTTGCCCAAGGCTGACCTAAACAAAATTCTCTTCAACCTCATGGACAACAGCTGCAATCTGGGCGCAGTCTCAACGAGGGCCTTCCTCTCACATCCCTATTCCTTCTTTTCAATTATCCTTGACCGATGCCCCAATTCTAATGCTACGAGAAAACCCATGACGAGACTTGCCACAAGGACAGGACCCCAAGAGGGAAACTCCATTGCGCTCGCTATAAAATGACCCTAATTTTCCTGCTGTTCGGGGAATCTATCTGGGTTTTACAACAGTGAGTACGAGGCAAGTCGCCATATCTCTGAGGCCAAAGAATCTCCAGCCAGCAATGGTGGTGGCGGTTGGGAAGAGGGTTCTCGATTCTGGGTGGATAGCGGCTAGATCGACGGAGGTCAAGCTCACCGGGATTCAGCTCACTACCACTAACCCTCCTTCCGTCGGACCCAAGTCGCCATGGATGGAAGCTGTTGTCCCCGGAAGTGTTTTGGCAACCCTTGTAAAGAACAAAGTAGTTCCTGATCCCTTTTTGTTTCGCCAAGCTGCTTGCCTTTGCTTCATTGGTGCTAACGGAAGAATTAATGGTAGGCAAATTGTAGGGGCGGTGATGAATTATTTTGAGCAGGAGGTTGGGCCCTTTGCTTGGTGGCGGTGGTTTTTTTTTATTTGAGGGCGTGGGCAACTGTTGGGGCGGTGCTCCTCTAGGTCTAGTTTTAGGTTTAAATATATATATTAATTAGTAATAATAATATAGCAAATTATTATCATTAATTCACGGTTGCAACCCTTCGTACGTAACCGTTAACCCAACTGTTCTCGTATTTTGGGTCGAACCTGAACCCAAAGTCGGGGTGTTACATTTCCTCCACCTTTATAAAAATTTCGTCCCCGAAATTTGCTTGAATCCCATCCATCCGTCAACACCATCCTTGTACTTCCTTGCCTAAAAAATTTACTCTCTCTATATGAACCTTGATAATGTCCGTTGCTTGTCTCGTATAGTTTACCTCATCTCAAGTTATTTCCTCTTTACCATAAAAGGTATTCTCAACAAGCTCATTAGCATCGGGTAGCTTTGGGTGGCTACTTATCCCTTTTTAATTCCCCCGTCTGGTGATGGAACAAAATTATCGATCCCTGTGTTGGTCCAGCTCCTTCAGCACTCGTTGTTGGCCCTTAAATCGGAGTCGAAGTGTCACATTTCCTCCCCACTTATAGAATTTTCGCCCTCGAAATTCGTCCACTGTGATTACCCTAAGCATCGCTTGTGGTAATCCTTTTCACTTCGCGGATTTTTATTTCCTTTAACTTATACGACATGACCTAAAATCCTTCTCTCCATTCCCTGCAACTTCAATGTTGTTGTGTCTTCTTAACCCCTCACATTACCTCGGCTGCACCTTGTACATATATAGGAACGATAACTATCCATTCGGTACATGAGAAGTTAGTGCCCCTATCCAAGCACAAGGTCACTGATGGCGGTTTATCTTCCATCTAGTCAGATGGTAAAACCCTTTTAACGTAACTCTCGTCCGGGTTGGTCTCATAGATCACCTAGGTCCTTGTATCTCCTAACTTTGCATCTCTTACTTTCTTCCTTAATGCCTCGTCTTATCCATTAACCATAAACTGAATGGTCACCTTCTTGTTACTTGCTGCTTAGTGCTGGAACCTCATACTACTGCTTCTACTTTCTGTATGCATTAGAGGCATCCTTTGTATCTTTCTCTAGCTTGCGATCAACTTTATGACTTCTTTCCAAAATCATGACCTTCCATTTTGAGTACTTTTTCACTCATGGCACCTAACTTAACACTTCATTATCACCGCTTGACTTGGGAGTTCTCGTACGATCTCTTCTATTGTTCTTTGACCTTGCATGAATTTCCTCATACAGTTTCCCCCTCCAAGAAGTTTTCACCCGAGAGATTGACACCTTTCACCAAAACCTTGGTTCCACTTTGGGGTATTCTAGCAGGTTCCCTAAGCTTATATCCCTCTTACTTTGTTAAGCGTGACTCTTCTTCTTGATATTACTCGCTAGTTCTTTGTTTACTTCTATTGTGCTTGGAACCAACTACAAAAGTGCTTGTTTATTTGGACAGGTTTGGATTCTTGGTTGGTCAATGTAGTAGAACGTGCCATTATGCTGTGAGTTCGGATGAAGCATTTCATACTGCCAAAGGGTTGATTGAAGACTTAACCTTGTGAATGAAGACAATAAGTGAAGAAACAACCAGCAAAACAAATAATGCTACTACGGATGCTGGAGTGAACTCCTCTCAGTTTATTAAGGACCCCCATCTAGTTCGAAGTAAAGGAAATGTGAAGCAACCTCAAGTGAAAACACGGTTGTGCAAGTATTGTAGGAGTCCTAAACATACAATCAGAAATTGTCTGCTGAAAAGAATGGCTGAAGCAGGTGCAGGTGATAGTCATTTCACGCAACAAGAATTCAACTTCGAGTCCATAGGAGCAGGTGAAAGCAGCTTTCATGTGGAGACTCAAGAATATATTCTACTTCCCAAACGATCCAAGCACAACCTGTAATGCTGGTGTTCGGCTTCAAACAACATTATGTTTCATCTTATAATGTTTGTTTTGTGCAAGTTAGTATCTAGTGACATTGAATGGATCTATGTAATGCTCGTGTCTAGCTTCAAAGAACATTATGACTCATCTTTTCATAAGCTTGTAGTTTTCAAAAACAGTATATTATATTTCTTACACCATTATAATAAGTACAGGGGTTAGTTCTACAGGTGAATGTCTCTACAGACTACTTCTGGAAATCTCACGGCCGTGAAAGCAGGCGTGTTTTTGGATTTGAAATTCTGGAAATATCACGGCCGTGAGAGAGGCTGTTGATGTAAAAATGCACTTCTCAGTTTCCCAGGGTTTTCACAGGTTGGGTTCGACAATATCACGGCCGTGAGATGAGCCGTGTTTTTGGATTTGAAATGATGGACTTCTCACGGGCATGAGATTAACCCATGAGATGTTCGTAGCTAATATGGAAACCTCACGGCTTGTAATTAAATTCTCGCGGGCGTGAGACTAAGTGACACGCTAAAACACAACACCAAATTGCGACCAAGTGTAATCGCAGTCCAGAAATGCAGTAAAGTGGCAAGTTCTAATAATCAACCCGGGGTCTAGATCTACTACCTACTCCATGAAGTGGTATTATCTAGCCAACTAAGTCGATTGATTGTTGATTTAAGTGAAAGTAGTAAGAAAGCAGGAAATGGTTCGATTTTCTGAAGCAAAGGAAAAGTCACTCGGGAATGAGTTCCCCTAGCTCCGTAGTTAGGTCTCAATTGTAATTACCATGGGTTGATTTACTGTTGATTAAACTGCGGAAGATCCGACAGTAGCTTGGGATCTCGTAAGCTGACCTAGCCCTCTCAGTCCAACTACCCGGCATACGACTAGTCTTCACCGGGTTAGAAAGCTGAGCCAATAAGCACAAAACTCCACTATTGGAATTGGGTTCCAGTACAAAGCAGTAGATTGATTAACTCTCGTATAACCAATCTACCACTAGCGAATGATGAAGCTCTAACAACCTAATCAGATTCTATCTATCTCAGGTTGCGGCAGAAATCAAGAAAAGATGATAAGACTTCAATTGATTCAATGAATCATGCATCATTCGATTAAAACCAAATAGTATAACAATCCCAAGTCATTACAATCAACATCCCTAACACATGGAACTAGGGTTCTTCATACCCAAGTGAGAGAGAGTTCTACTCCATAGAGAGAGAGAGAGAGAGAGAGAGGGAAAGAGAATACAAAGCAGTCATACTCATAACAATGGGAAGAATATGCTATGGGATGTCAATCTTCACTCCAAGGGTGATTTCCAAGCTTGATTGATGAAACCCAGCTCCAAAACCATTCTTAGGGGGTGTTCTTCGCACTTTCTCTCTCTAGGGCTCTACTTTTGCTCCAAAAAGTCAATTCCCTCTCTTTTGGCTCGAATTTGCATTAAAACCTAGAAATTCCCGACCACACGGGCAGGCCACACGGTCGTGTGGCTTTCCCAGCTGCCCGTGTGAGTTGTGCAAAACACGGCGTTACGATAAGTGGATTTCAGCCATCCTACACGGCCACAAACGGCCGTGTGGATTTCCAGGCTGCCCGTGTTAGTTCCCTGGAATTTCCACACGACCACATGGGTTCCCTTACACGACAGTGTGGGTTTTAGGCATGCCCTTGTGACTTTCTCAGCTTCTCGCCAAACGTCTGATCTCCGTCCAATCGACCCCGAACTCGTTCCTAAACCTTCATTCACGTACTAGTACCTGAAATATCACAAACAAGAACAACCTAGCGTGAAATCGGCCTAAAACACGAGAGATAAGACTCAAATGGTGTAAGAATGGTGGGCAAAAACATGTGTATATATCAATTCATCAAATTCCCCCACACTTAACCGTTTGCTTGTCCCCAAGCAAACCAAGTCAGACAAAAGGTAAGCTCAAAATGTTTTAATCAAGCATGCTTTAGGGACATATCATATCGGCACAAAACACGTGAATCGTAATGGCTTTCCAACATCAACACATGAACAACAACCACCACAGAAGACATTCGAGAGCAGCAAATGCATTCCAACACATGCTTATTCTCTCAATCCCTAACGTCTCTTCACCATGAAGGCAGCCTCTAAATGTTAGAGTTCACATGAATGGGTGTCATCACTAACTAACCCGGAGGTCTTAGACACAGGTTCAAATGACTGGCAAGGGTCTTGGACATCGGGAAAAGGCCTTTTAGGTGGTGGACGTATTCATAGCACAAGGTTCCACAATTCCCAACCCAACACAATTACAGTCAATTCAACCACTTACTTTCTTTCTGCCATTCTGCATTACTAACATTTTCTAGAACACAAGAGTGAAGGAGGTCACATAAATGTTAGAATTTCCAAGCTAGACTGCTAAGAAACACTACTTAATGGGCACTATACAGATTTTGTGGTGGTGGCTCTCTTTTGCTTTCATTCATTTTTTTCTTTCTTTTTTTCTCTTTTTTTCATTTCTTGAGAGAACAACCACCTATTCACATTTTTCAAACACATGCCCAACTTTTTAAGAACAACCTCCAACCCTCACATTATATTTAGCAGAAATAGCAGAGAAAATGTAAAAACGGCTCTGTGGAACCTTCTAAGAGATGCAAAAGGGTGATTTTTCATTGAAGACCGAAAGAAAGGATAACACACGGCTCAAAGGGGCTGACTAGGGGGTATGACACACCAGGATAGTCAATTTAGTCGTGGGCTAATCCTATGCCTCCATCATCTTAGCTAATGACAACGTGAATGCTACACATCATGGAAGAGGGATCTATCGCTCAAGAAAGAAAAGAGCAGGCTCAAATCTCACATGGATACCTATATGCTCTATCTCTCATTCTGATTCCCCGAACTAGATGCATAAATGACTGTCAAGAACAAGTGATCAATCCAAGTCATAGTTGGTAAGCAAACAGTTGAAAAACTAAACCCCTACACAATTCTACTGCACGTCTCAGCCATCATCATAGGTCGTCCTAGTTACAATCAAGCTGTCGTGCAATAATCCGAAAACCATTCGATTCACCAATCAAATCACAGTGCCAATATGATCATGCAAACAGCGATACTTGGAGCCCTCA